TTTTAGAAAAAACACATTAATTCATTCCAAATTTTTTAGCAACATCAAAGTATTCTTAAATTTTTATCAACTATTAAAGCATTCCTTTTTTTGTTGACAGAGGTTATACTGATTGTTAAAACAAACTAAAACCAAAAATAAATCCGTTTTGTTTTAATAATCACAAACAAAAGGATAGCACTTGGATAAGAAAATAAAATCAAAACTTCATCAATAAATTAACAAAAGTAAGATCATCATTGGAGCAAGTCAGCAGACCAAATTGCCAATAGACAATCAGAATAGACTGAGTGTGTGATATTTGTTTTCTTCTAAGCAGATGTTTCTAATATTAGAGTTTCTATTATGCAAGGCATAACACTATCAAGAAAATGGGGCATAAGAAATCATTTCTATTAAGCAAAAGTTTCTGTTATCCAGGTTTCTTATAAGTGAACTCAACTATGTTATTATAAATCTACATATACAAATTGATTTAAAGAAAAATTTGTCTAATACATAGTATTTGTTCATAATTTACAACCAATCATTGTTGTGTTCCAAAATTCAAATGATGATAGGAACTCTATATTCTATTTGTTCTGTTATATTTAAGAAGTGTTTGATTCATACATAGAACAGTCTGAAGGTCATTAAGATGGTTGAAAATGTTAGTTGTGAATTAAAATTTTGAACGTGCTAATTTAAAAAGGTTTTCTACATTTATTTGGTATATGCTGAATCAGTTATTCTATTATTATTTTTTAAAATATTGATGTAATCAGTGTAAAAATTATCACAACCAAACAAACAAAACAGTGTGTCTACTCAACTTGAATATGTATAATAAACTTAAACTTTTCTTATTTTAAATATTCAAATAAAAACACCTTAACAATACAAATAAAATTGAATCAAGATATACAGTAGAACCTCGAAAACTCGGCCTAATGTGGACCGAAGGGTGGCCGAGTTTGTGAAAATGCCGGGTTATCGGGAATGGGGTTAAAAAAAANGAATTCGCGGCTCTACTGATCGAGGCTTGATCCCAATATACCTCGACCTCTTGCTGTTTGGCAAATGCTGTGAGCACTGTGGCATCTATGTTCTTACTCACAGAGTATTTATGTTCCTTGAGTCTTTGTTTTAACTGCCGCATAGTAGCACCCACGTAAACAAGGTCTGAGTTGAACCGCTGATCCTTTATACTTTATAGGTATAGAATAAACTCCTCGTAAATTATTTCGCTTTTCCTTTCTCTTATCGTTTCTTAACATTCTGTAGATCATTGGATTACGCTGATATACTATTTGTAGATTATTACTGTTTGCCGTTCTCCTAATCATTTTTCGATTTTGAAGAAAAGACATATCTACAAGAAAGAGGTGTGCCAATGGGTAGTCCTACATCTGCTTTATTGTGTGAATTAGTCTTGTGTCAGATGGAAAGCAATATCCTGCCTATGTTTCAAAATGAAATAATAGTATATTCAAGATATGTAGATGATATTTTCATTCTATGGAGAAATGATAACAATGTGCAATGTTTTTTAAACACAGTCAACAATAACCCATATGGTTTAACTTTGGGTCTAGAGCAAGAGAATAGTAGTAATATTAACGTCCTCGATTTATCTATCAAATGCAAGGAAGGAGAAATCTGGATGGACATTTATCGCAAACCAGTTTAATGTGCCTAGATCGAGATCGATGGAATTCCCAGGAATTCCATCGATCTTAGGCACATTAAATATGCAGTGATTAGGGCATGGATTAAATGGACATATATGCATTGCACGAGTATCTATGATACTTACAAAGAGTTGGATTACATTAGGAATACAGCAATGCAGCAATGTTATCGGAGGGGGGAGGTGGACGAGCTTATTACGAAGTTTCAGAATCAGAATCGGCAGCATCCCAAAATTATGACCCAGGAACGAAGAGTAGTTCTTAATTATTTTCCTTTTTTAAACAAAATGATTAGGAGAGTGGCAAATACAGTAATAATCTACAAATAGTATATCAGCGTAATCCGACGATCTACAGAATGTTAAGAAATGATAAGAGAAAGGAAAAGCGAAATAATTTACCAGGAGTTTATTCTATACCTATAAAGGATCAGAGGTTCAACTCAGACCTTGTTTATGTGGGTGCTACTATGCGGCAGTTAAAACAAAGACTCAAGGAACATAAATACTCTGTGAGTAAGAACATAGATGCCACAGTGCTCACAGCATTTGTCAAACAGCAAGAGGTCGAGGTATATTGGGATCAAGCCTCGATCAGTAGAGCCGTGAATTCCAGACAGGCATTGAAACACCTTGAAAAGATAGATACACAAGGCACACATAAATAAGGGATGCATTAATCATAGAGATGCAGAAGGGTTATCTTATGCCTGGAAATCCTTTTACAATAACACAGATTAACACCTTGTAATCAACGTATATTTTCCCCCCCCTTTTTTTTGGTGGCTTTATTATTTTTATGTTATTTGCAAGTTATTTATAGATTTTCAGAAGACGCAAGTCTGATGAATTACGCATGCGCATTTCGGTTTCTGTTTAATTTGTATTTCATGCGTTCTTTTTTAACCTTGGTTCAACTGAAGATGGCCGTTTAAAAACAGTTGAAAACGTTTTTATTGAATATTTTTTATTGCTGGATAGTTAAAGATTTACTTTATTTATATTTTCAGTTTATTTTATAAACTACTTCACNTAATAAATTAATGTTGAAAACTGAATAATTTTTTTTAAATTTAAATTTTTGATATATTTAATGCAGATAGTGAAATGAAATATAATAATATAAGAAATATAGAAATTGAATATGCATATCAGATCTCAGAAAATTAGGAAAGAAATGCTAATCTTTTGATTAATTTTTCAATTTTTGTATGATGGTTCCTATAAAAAAAAAAATTAGTTTTGAAAAGTTTTTGATTTCATAAGCCATGTTTACCAAGTTTATTAATTATTTACGTTAAATACAGATGTTAGCACATTTATCTGTAATCCATATTTGCAAATCATTAAATAATTTAATCAATTAATTTCTAATCTTAACATTTTTGCAAAAATTAGTATTTGGTAATCATTTGTTGAATTATTTAGATAGAATGATAATTTATTCTAACTAATGATAAAATTTCTGTCATTAGCTATTGCTAGAATCCTGTATATTGTTAATGGCAATAGATTAGTTTTGGAGGAACATCTCATTGAACATGTGCCTTTAGGAAGGAAGTAGAAGAACATCTGTTTTAATTACATTAGTACTGTTATCAGATGGGAAAATGTGAAAAAAACATAGTGAAATATGGGAAAACTGAAGTAGATATTTGAGTTAGATTGGATATAGAAATATAGACTCTGTATAATATATCATATTATGGTATTTGTTCATAATTTTGCTATAAAATCATCCTCATTCCATGCACTTTACCAATGTACTACAGATCATATAACAAAATTAGTACTCACCAATACTAAAATCTAGCAAAATGTAGAAATTTTAATGTAAACTAATGTTTTCATCTATATATGTAGCAAACATTAATTCCATATGGTTTAATTACATAGAATAGAACAGTAAAGGCAGGGATGCACAACCTTTTGTGAAGAAGGGCCAAATTAGGATTAAGTTTACTGACTGGGGACCGGACCTCCAAGTGATTAATGCGATGGCTGAGATTGGATGCTGGCAGCAATTTTCTTGATGTCTGGTGTAATGGCAGATGTCGAAACAACCAGCAAATTTTCCAAATTCTCTTTGGTTAACCTGTTCCATGTTTTGCACTTGTTTAAATTCATAAGCGAAAACACTTGTTCGCATACATAGGTACTGCCAAACATGCTTGCCCAAAATCGAGCATTGTCTTTCAGTTTTGGAAATGATGTATCTGGCAGTTCTTTGTAGAATGTGAGGAGATTAGAATTTTTGAACTGTGATTTCAATTCATCACTGCACTGGATGTCTATCAACTCAAGTTGGACATCTGGAGGGGCATCTTC